TTCCAAACACAGCGCAGCAGCCCTGGTGGCGCCGGTCCAGTCGGCATTGGCCTGCCAACCGTAAGGTCAGTCCGACAAAACCATCAGCTGCTCTGCCCGAGTGGGCTGAGGCTGCCTGGTCTCCTGAGGACTCCCAGAGCCCTGGCAACCCTACGCAGGGCCGGCCGCTGGGAGTCGAAAGGCAAGGCTTTCTACACGCACAGAGGGTGACAGCCCGGGAAAGCCCCTTGGACCAAGAGGGTCGCTAAGAGTGGGAGCGGACTCCACCGTGGCGAGTGAGTCTGAGCGGAAAGCGACTCCATGGCCCTGGGTCTGGCCTCCCAGGTTTCAAGCACCGGGCTTGGATACTGTTTGCCGTTCCCCAATAGGCATGTCGCTTCCTGTCAGTTACTAGCCGCTGATAGTCACAAGGTGGCTTTCCCTTTCTTTTCATGTTTGTGATGAGTATTTGCACGTGTGAGTACATAGATTGTCCTACGTACTCCCTTAACTCATCCACGTGCGTGGTGCCGAGGCCACTGCCATCGAGTCTGTGTTGGACCCGTGTCCCAAGGCTGTAAATCTTCATGGGGGCTCAGAGCCTCAATAGGCTCTTGACTTTGAACCTCCAACCTTGCAGTAAGCGGCCCACTGCTTATGCAGCAGAACCACCGGGGCTCCACACACATATCTGTTCTGTACCTACTTACCCACAGGCTAACATTCTGCTGACAGGAAATACCATGCAAACTTTTGTAGGCAATCGATTGGCTTCTCCCTCTCTCTGTTTCTTTTCTTTTTCCCCTTCCACCTTGGCAGCAGCTTGCGCTGTCCCCTAAGTCTTGAATCAGCCCCAGTGCTAGGTCAGGAGAGCCTGAAGCCCTCTCCCCAAGGGCAGCTAGGAGCCTGGCCTGAGAGGTGAGATTAGTCACTGTGCCCTTGACCGCAAGTCAGCCAGGCCCCGGGAGAGGGCGCTCACTGCTTCTCAGGCTGACAGCAGGAGGGACAGGGAGAGCCTGGGGCAAGCACTGCAGCCTGGGTGACCTGCACGCCCTTCTTCACACATGCAGACAGCTTGCCCCGGCCCCTAGAGCCCTCGCCTCTCTCCACAGCCCCACTCTTACCAGGCTAGCTCCTACACATCCACCGGACATGTTTTGGCCTAGAGTGCCATGGCCTCCATTTGCCTTTCTCCTCTGAACAGACACTGGCTAGGTGGTCTTCCAGGGCACTGTGTCAGCATCCGAAGCCACCCCCAGAGCCCACACCCGTGGCACAGTTCTACCCTTCCTAGTTACCGACCCAAAGGGGAGCAGCAGCTTCCTCCTGGCAGTGAGCAGGTTTGGCGTGGGTCTGAAACCTGGGTGGTGTCACCTGGACAGCTGTTAGATCATTTTCACTTCACTACTATTGTTTTTTCTCCCACCAGCTCACGGTGTCCTTGAGGTGCCACGGTGCCACAGCTGTGTCGGTAGCACTTGGGGAGAGGCTCCTGCCCCCCACCCCAAACCTGCCCCTTGTGCTTGTGTTTTGCAAGGGAGGCTGGGCTCAGGAGCTCTGGCGATATGAGGTAAAGAAAACCCCACGGGGAAGAGACACACAGGGCCAACGCGACTACGCCGTCCAGGGCCCTGTCTCCATCTGACCACTCTCCTTCCAGCACCAAGTCACCGTGTAGGCAGTGTGTGGGATTCTTGCAGGTTGGCCAGAACCAATGCCGACCTTTTTGGGTTGAGTCCAGAGGCCCACTGGTGAAGCAAGCCCCTGTCACCGGGGTTGTCTCTAAGGTGGGCTGCTGGGCAGCTAGCTGCTCAGTGTGAAAGTCAGGCATTTGCATTCCTTAATCTTTTGCAAACATTCATCTGCACAGCAGTGTATTCGAAGGGCCCCTATTAATTTTCAGTCCGTCCAAAGGCATAAAAAATTGGACGTGAATATGCTTGTAGTATTTACTTATTCTTTTCGTAACCCTTGCCACAGCTTTGAAGAACTAGTTCACCTCTATCGCCCTGCATTTGTTACTTCAGTAAAGAAACCTATAGCGTAAAGCGACAAGGTGCCCAACAACCAGCGGTTGACACGCTGTCATTCGTTTCAGCCGGTGATGCGCAGGTCAAAGAGAGGAATACTGCCAGAGAGGGCACCAGTCCAGAAGCTATTATGGTAATGGCTTAAGTCACAGTTGCACTGTGTTTGCTGCGTGGCATGTGATGGTTTTCGTTTGTGACTAAGAACCCTTTCTTATAAAATAATCTGGTTTTGTGTACCACTTCTATCACCTTTCTTAATGTATTAACTCGACGGCGTACTAAACTTCCTTGTGGTCTATCTCTCTCTCGTTCTTGGGGGGGGGGGGGGATAAAACGGTCCTTATGGCAGTGAGCCGGTTGTGACATTCTTTGAATCCCACCACTGACCAGAGGGCTGGTGACAATGTGCAGCCCAGGGGCTTTACAGGCTGACGAGGGGAAAGCAGTATTCTCACAGGCTTGGGTTTTCTCCTACAGATAGCTCTTTCACAATGTCCTAAGCAATGAAGCTCCGTGAGAGAGCATGGGAGAAAGCATGTGATTCCCAGTATCAGGCTTGAAGCTCTCTACTTAGGGGAGCAAGTGAGGAGCAGCCAGGGTGATAGAAAGCCCACAAGATCAGTAACAATGATCAGCAGTGATGACCAGCCATACTGACCAGGTCCCAATGAGAACATTTTCCTCAGGGCCAAGGCATCCTTGTCCAGACTCTCTCCCTTCTCCATCGGTTTCCTCTGTAAGTTTCTGTAGTCCATGGCTTCTGGGGAGCGACACTAAGCTCAATGGCATCTGTTTCCCATGTTCTCTAACTTGCTTTACTACCGGTTTTTCCCCTCTTCATTGCTTTCAAAAGAGTGCGGGCCATTTACAGCGAGTCATCAGTGTTTCTAACCCCTGGCCCTACAAAAGAGCTCTCTTCCTGTCTCAGTGCAGAAGCAGCCCCACCCCCACCCCTGTCCCCTGGGCCTAAGCCTTACCTGTTTCCAGGGAAGGTGAGGAGTATTCTCCAGCATCCAAGGAGTCCAGGTTCTGCTGCTCAACCGGTAGGACCCTTAGCTCAGTCAGGCAGGGCTCCTGGGAAGGTCCTGAGATGGGGCCCTCCCCTGAATCTCCTTGGATGTTTGGCTCCAGGGGCTTTGCTCTCACCATTTCCTGACTACCGCCCTGGGGGAGAGGAGAGGACAGCATCTGTCACACTCATGACCACACTAGTACTGACCAGTGGAATCAGACTTCGACCCACACATGTAACTTTTCATTTTCTCGAGTCCACGCAGGAAAAAGAAAAAGAGTGGATGGATGAAAGAAAACGAAACCATGAAGTTTGCGCTCAGTGGCATGTTTTACTTAACCCAGAATGTCCTGAGCACCCTGAATCCAACAGGTGATCAGTGTAAGTTTTAAAGGAGGCATCCTACACCACACTCCTTTGCACGAGTCCTTTGGGTTCTGCCTTTCAAGTGACCAAGTGTCACATCTCACTTGCGGCCACAGTATCGGTTAAACAAATCTGACCCATACAAATCTAATGTCTCATGTCATTATCCAGATCTGGAAGAGAGCGAGAGAGTGAGAGAGAGAGACAGAGGTGGTGAACCCCAAAGCCCTCCTATCCTAAGACAGCAGAACGCTCTGGAAGGCGCCTGCCTCCCCGTTGGGGCAGGTGACCTGTGTTGGAGCACACAGCCCCTGTTGCCCACCTAGCAGACCTGCGTGCTTCCCCCAGATGTCCTCAACTGGCCTCAGCTCAAAGCCCCCCCCCCCCGAGGTTTCACAGAGGGGCTCTCGGCAGAGGACAGTGCCAGCCCCAGCCCTCCGAGGCAGGGTGTATGGGGTGGCAGGTGGTAGCTGCTGGAATCTTCCGTGAAGGCACAGTTGAGCATGATGTTCTTAAGGCAG